ATAGAAAAGTGTGCATCCGTGTTACGTTATTTTTCGATATGATATATATATATATATATATATATATATATATATATGGATGATATATAATATCGGTCCAAATTTGTGGATACACGGGCATTAATGGAGTACATCATGTTTTATTCCATATGATTATTAACGCGCAATAAAGCACTTGAATATTTATGTATATTTACGCGCAAATTTTACGCGGAAAAATTTGATGGATTTTGATGAATCGCGTTATACGAGCGATTGTACTATTTTGTGGAAGATAATTTACCTCGATAATCGATTAATGTAATTGATTTTCTTCTATCTAATAATTGAGTTGAATGTGTAAAAAAAATATATATACGTATATATATATATATATATTTATTCATATTCAAACTTACTTGGTAGATTAAAATTCTATAAAATTATTATATCAAAAGTCGGAGAGATGAAAGGAATTACTTCGATTGAAACACGGATACATTAACGCTATACCTTTAACACACACCAACAATAATGCTATAAAATTTACCATTTACATTTATCGTTTCATCGTTTTATCGCGGTAATAAATATTAAATCAAATATCCGTTTCTTCGATTATTTAGATATATGAACAGGCTCGACGTTGAATATCCGCTTCGTTTTAACAAATTATAGAGGAATATTGTAGAGGAATCTGTCTGTCCAAGAATGGATGAAAAGAATATATTTCAATATCGCGATAAAAAACGAGATGAAAATATCCGATTTTTTACACGGTTCGATCGAGGTTAAACGGTTAAATCGTAAAGGGGTTGTAAAAGATTCGAAACGTCGATTTCCTTCCTGGATGAGTCGGAGGAAGAGGGAAGAATCGGGAATCATCAATCTATCGAGTCGAGTCGAGTATTCGAATGGCGCTAATTCAGTACCCCTTGTCCCTTCGCTCCACTTGTCAAGACTCCAAGTTCGTGTACCTCGGCCACTTAAAGCGGCATTGTACAGGGAAGACAGGACGGGTTCGACCAGGATCCAAATAAATAGGCCCTCGTATATCAACGCCCCAGAAATCGCAGCAGCTCGATCAACCTGAGCGCACCTTACATTGTCTCTGTAAGTCGAGCGCGTCCAACTTCCACGACCTGGATATATCGTCTGCCATTGTCCGAAATAAAATCCTTGATGGACTGCCATTGAATGAATTTCAACCCCCTCGCCTCGCTCTCTAATTCTTCGTCCCGGAGAAAAATTATTCGGTTCTGTATAATCTTAGTTTCAGTCTGTTCAATTGTAATCCTAAGTTTATTTAATTCTGTGACTAATTTTTTTTTTTTTTTTTTACGAAATAAAATAATACATGATATCTTATTTATTTTAGAGATCCTTTTACGTGTAAAGGCAACGACGAATTACGATCAATCGAAACGCGTTCTTCGTAGTTAATTTAAAGCGTTTAAAGTCGAACTCGAGGGCAGCAATCGAAAAAAAAAAAAAGAAAAAAATATGGAAAAACGGGGAAACGATGGATGATATAACTAACGTGGAGCGAATTAATGTTATGCCAACGGCTAGCCGTAAAAATTACCAAAACAGAGAGGTATTGGATCGCGATATCTCTCGGCAGATTCGTGGGGAAAAAACAGGATTATTATTTTTGCATTATCGATTGCTCGGATATATTTCGATTCTCTCCCTTCTCTCTCTCTCTCTCTCTCACTCCAATTGTGCGACGGCCGAGGGATAGGAGCCGATAATTTTAACGAAGAGGCGAAAAGAAGAAGTTTTAAGAAGAAGTCCCATTCATCGGCTGGTCGAAAAAACTGACAAAACAGTTGATAGGACAGATACAGCGGGCACTGTGGAATACGAATGGACTTTTGGCGGATGTACTGTAGGTGGCCGCGAATGGCTTCGAACGGCTTCGAACTCTGGTGCAAAAGTCTCCAGAATCTGGAGGGGAAGGATCGAAGATATATATATAAATATATATATATAAAAGAAAGAAAAAAAGAAAAGAGATATGAGAAAGATTGTGAAAGAGGAGAGGAGGGAAAAAAAAAGGAAAATCCACGAGTGTGGAAGAAAGGATGGAGAAGGAAGAGGACGAGGAACGATTCGGTGGAAAAATGTCATCGAGCGATCCTGATTTACAACGGTAGGGAAATCGGTGCGGCGAACTTCGTGTCGGAAACTCAGAAATTTTCGCTCGTGGGAATCGGAACTTTCATTGACGTTCGTGGTAGATTTCTCGAGCGCGCGTAAAATAAAAAAAAAAGAAAAGAGGGGAGGAAGAAAGAGAGAGAGAGAGAGCGCCATCGACGAACTCGTCGACGAGAACGTGGACGGGCGTCGGGAATCGGTTAACAGCGGGACGCAGGAGGATGTATAAGGATTGTCTTTTATTAATGATTTTCCCTAATGCACATCCATGGATACATAGAAACGCGGTTATACGGTTGCGTAGTTAATGACCGATTAGCGTAGCAAGCTTACACGTCTCACTTTAAAGCGCTTTACTATGGTAATATATCTGGCAAACAACATTTGTCTTTGATTATCGTGGCCGGTGTTTGCATAGCTGTGTAAATAGTACCACGAGGCTCTCCTTTTGCCGGATACGCGCCATCACGTCCAACAAGAGAGAAAGAGAGAAAGAGAGAGAGAATAACGTTGAACTACTTTTATTCTTTGTATCCCGCCTGCCTTTCTCTCTCTCTCTCTCTCTCTCTCGTATTGTTTGTCCCAATTATTGCAAAATTATTCGCGTATTTATTTTGGGGAAAACCGAGTTATCTCCTTTGACAGAGTGCTAGAAGAATGGATCTAACCGACGGTAAAGGAACACTATTATCATTGGCCGCGTTAAAATGTTTCGCGTGCTCGCGCCACTTGAAAATGTGTTTTCAATTTTATTCCATTTCGACGCGTTACGCGAAATATAAAAGCGAGCCCCTCGCGTATCGAATAACGCCCGAAAACCTTGTTTCCACGCGAGTCGAATTATAACCGTTTCTAGTAGAGGGAGGGAGAAAAAGAGAGAGAGAGAGAGAGAGAGAAATCCGTGTAACCGATAACAACGAAGCAATCTGCCCCTAAAAGTTCGATCGTACTAATCGAGCGGCGTTAAGGGGGAGGGGGGGAGGAGATGATAGTGGACTAGGTAATTTTGCCTTTGGAATTCGCCGAGCCAACCTATAAAGACCTTCGATCTGCATGGCGAATAACTATGCAAATTTCTCCATAGGTTGAGCACAGACTTCTGATGACACGGTACACCGTTAAACCAGAGTTGCGAGAGCAAACGTGTTCATAAAGCCACGCATGACCAACACCGAACCTCGTTTCTACCCTCGTTTCCGCGCCATTCGCGCGTGAAAACGTGACAAAAGAGTTTTTCTTTCGTAGGTGCGTCTCTCGATTAGTTTTCAAATACACCTTCGATCTCTACGCGAAGTATTCTCTCTGTACGTTACTTGCACGTATATTTTTATTCGTTCGTTTATTCGTCAAGATGAATATATAAGATGTCGAGAGGCAAAAAGATTTCATCAACATGATGATTAAAATTGAAATTCCTCCTTCTATAGGTCAGATATTATTAGATTTCTGAAAGATTTCGGTTTGGTTTCTTTTTGGTGCTTTTGTTCGCAGAGCGAAACCATGTTAAAGTAGCTCCATGTTGTTTTCGATGAAGCAAGAAGGTGATTCGAGAGAAGGAACGTTTATTTTGTCGAGGGGAAGAAATACGTTGGAAAATGTTGTCTTAAATGGAACAATGTATTTTTGTTACCGTTGATGTTGTAATTGCCTGAACTATATAAGTTTCACCTTGTACAACGCGCCATTTTTTTTTTCCTATACTTTTTCGTATCACTCTTCATCATCGAAATATTTCGTTTTTATTTCGATGTCAATGTTTAAAAATGCACGAAAATTTATACGCGAATAAAATTCCAAGCTAATTGAATTTTTTTTTTTTTATACTTAAAGAAACGAATTGTTGTTTCATTCATATCTCGAAGAGATACAATCTAGAAGACATATATAACCACACGAAGATTTTTAGATTTCTGTGTTAAACAATTCGCTTTGCACGTCCCGCATATGATCAATGCGTACATCACGCTCCGCGTGAAACAGGTACGAACGACGATTTAGAATAGCTAATGTTCCACGGATGGCAAACAGAAAACGGAATGATAGAACCAGCCCGTATCGCAGTTAGACTGCGCTACCGATAAGAACGAATAGGCTAACTCCGCCCTAATCGAATCTCTAATTCAATTTCACGTTACGCTACACTGTCGAATTACGGCTGGCCAGAAGATAACCAGAATATGGTTAAAACACCTAGCTCCTACTCTATCGAGCGTCCGATCTAATTCAACTGCGAACTCATCCCGCGTTATAAGACACTTTTCTAAAAATATTCGGAATTTCATTTACGCAGAGAGAGAGAGAGAGAAAGAGAGAGAGAATCGATTGTCTGGAACACCTATCGGGTCAATTCATCGTGTCTCGACGTGTATGATCTCGAGTGTCACCGCGACCGTGCATCAATTGCAACTGGGTCCGCCATCCATCTCGATGCGTCGCCCGTTACATACACACGCCGCATATTTCCGGACTGCGCATTCAAGTGCTTATGCCGGGCGAAGCGTGTCGTTAGGTCAATCGTTCTAATTTCAACCCCATCCCCATAAATAGGCGCGTAAAAGTTGGCAAAACCGAATCGAAATCGTCAACCTCGAAACATCGTTTGAACATTTTCAAATTTATCGACCTGTTATTCTTCCGATGGATATCGAACGAAACTAATCGGTTATCGTTTCTCCAACAACCCTCTCCCCGATCGTGGACGCTAATTTATCTAATTTTTCTCGTTAAAACGATCGCCACAATGAATCGAAAGCTCTGGAGAAATTAAGAGAAAACGATAAGGTGAATGAAATCTCGAGGAGAGATGTTTTCGCGGGCGTGCAACGAATGGCAGGATGAGTAGAATGATGCAGTACACGTACCGCGTGCGGTGACCAATGGTGGGGCCAAGTCTTGGTCTCGTGGCCACCCCCAACCGCCGGTTGACTCGCTAAAAAGACGACGCGTCTATCGGTGCTTCCGGTTCCGGTGCCGCTCGTGGTCAGAAGCGCTGCCCTCGCCCTCGAGCCACCGATACTCAACGTCGGCGACGTGTCCATATTGCGTGCCCGCCTGCGAAAAAAAGGAAAAACGAACGGATGGATGATCGGTCTCTGTCAAAAATTGCGAAATTGAGGAACGGAAAGGATTTGAAATAAAATCAAACGTACAGGAGAGCGCGGGATCACACGTTTGAACGAGATTGAGCGATGGGAGTGGGATATCTAAAGAGAGGGGAAATTTAAAGAAATTCAGCCTAGGTTTAACGAAGCCTGTTACGACGGAACGACGAACGACTCGAAGAGAGTTTCAAATCGTCTTTTAACCAGTGGTGAAACGTCAGCCGTTGCGAGATATTTTTCATTTTTATTCGTGCGGTTTCCCGCGTATATTAAATAAATTTTTAGATAAAAAATTTCCTCCCGTTATTAAAGGGGAACATTTTTCCCCGGTTATTATATATATATATATTATATTCCCGGTGTAATATTCAAACGCGAAGCCTCAATGAAATTTCGGCCGGCTACACGTTTCGATAATTCCTCCCGTATATAATCGTGGTATCTGGTAATATAATTAATTGCATCACGAGCATGCCGGAATATATTGGTTTTACTAGCGGACTTGTTATCGCGCGTTCATGAAATTATGGTTAACGACGGCATTACAATGGCTCGCCGATGCGCCGCCACTCTCCCGCTCGGCCGCCTATTTAACCGGCCGGAAGAAAACAACTTCTCTCTCGTCCGAGCCGCGAATTTCCTTCCCCTCCTCGCGGTCGAATTAAAAAAAAAGAGAATCATCGAACGAAAGATCGAGACGAGGGGACGAAACGATCGATCGCCGTTCGATCGCCCACAAAGAAATCTTTCGACGAGCTCATCATCGAGCTCGTTAACTCGAGGGAGGATAAGAGGCTGATCGAACTGGCAAAGGGAGCGGAGGGATCGAAGGGATCGCGGGGAAGGTAAGACGAGGCATTCGACGAGGATTTGCGGGTCGTCGACTGTGTGGCGAAAGTGGCAAAAAGGAGAAAGAGGGAGAAATAAATTCGAGGAACGAGTGGAAAATTGGTCGACACGTACCCGCGTCGATCGAATGTCGTTCAATTCCCCTTGATGGATCTCCGATTGATTTGGACACTCCGGGGGGAGAGGGGATACTCGGGATCCGGGCGATAATCTTATCTGTAGAATGTAAGTCGAAAGTCGACGTTGTTCGGACCACGATCCACGATCTCTTATCCTTGGACTCACCACACTTCAACCGGGTAATCCTCAAAGTCGCGTGCACCTAATCATTATAGACGGAGGAGGGGGAGGGGGTGGCGCTAGGTGTTCCTTAAATCGTTCCAGCACGACGTTCGCTCCTCCTTCCCGTAATTACGAGTCATTACGAGGGGATGATTCCAACGCGTGGCACATGTACAGGATATATACACGGCACGAAACGTTGTCCACGGTTTTTATTCGCGGGCCATCAACGAAACAACAACTGGTGGCAACGATTACCGGAATCGGACCGGTCGCGCGAGCGGCCGACGCGTAACCGACGATCAACCGCCACGTAATCGATCTTCTTCGACACAACTCCGCGCAACAAAGTCGTAATCGATTTCGATGGCACGCCGCGATTCTCGAATTTCCCAGCTGCGTTCCGACAGGTCCTCATTCTATCGACCGTTCTGTATCGTGCGTTAACGAGAACCAATTAGCAGGCCCAACTAATTCGAGTCTCCAAAAATTCACGAGTACCTTCACTTCGTTCCTTCGTCGATGGAAAAATTTACTCTACTCTTTAGGTAAAATTAAGATCGGTTTAATCCGTCGGAAAATTTATTTCCACGAGTCTAGCGAGCCCACGCCTGTTACACCGATTTTAATTATACCGACGCTTTTCCCTCTCGTTTTCTCCTTTTTTTTTTCCCCCTCCCCGAGCCTGCGTGCGCGTCACTCTTCCCCCTTTTTTTATTTCAACCGAATCTCGACGACAGATTCGGTCGTTCGATATTTTATTCGCGTCGTAACCGGACCGACGATACCATCGAAGTCAATGAAATCCGGCTGCATCCTGGTTAATTAATCGTTCTCGAGATTCGTTTATACCGAGATTCGAATCCTCTTTAGAGAATGAAACAACCGTGTTTCGAAACAACCGTTCTTCGAAACGAGGTTCGCGGCAGGAAGGTAGGAAGACGGGCCTCGTTCCCCTCTCATGATTCACCGATAAATCAATCCGCACATCTCTCCCCGACCCCTCGATACGACGTACATATATACATATATACTGTGTCTTAGTTATCTCGTAGACGCGGGTGGTCTCGTAGGATCGAAACGATCGAGCATCGGTGGGAGCCCGACACGGCCGGAAGTTGGGAAGCGCCGCATACGAAATCGCGCACGACACTGAACCGCCAGGACGTCTAGCGCCCGAGGTGAGCCTCTCGCGGATTCGCGGGCTCACGTGTGAAATTCTTGCGCATGCACCGACGCCTTCTCCCTTCCAATTTCCCCTCTTTCCTTTCCTTTTCCTTTCCACCGCCGTTTCTCCTCCTTTCGACAACCCTCTCTCCCTCCCTCCCTCTCTCTCTCTCTCTCGCCCGGTCAAACATCCCTCCGTCCCTTTCCGCCAACCGACTTATCTCTTATCGCCAACTCTGTCGCTGTTCTTTTCTCCCCCAAGACTATTGTCCTCTCCCTCCCTTTCCACCCTCCTCTCCACTCTCCTCTCCTCCTCCTCCCTTTCTACCCTCCTTGGCTGGATAAGCTCCTCCGGATGGCATCATGCGAGCGACAAGTATCCAGTGTTAGTCCAGCTTGGCACGGAACTTTGCCGAGTATTTCGCCAGTAAGTAAATTCGAGTGGGTCGGCGAGGGAGGGGAGGGGATGGAGGGCTCGATAAACATCGGGGATAAATGTCGCGGAAGGTTTCTTCTTCGCGAGGATGATGATTTTCGATTTTTGATTATATATATTTTAAATCGGATATAATTCTCTTGATTAAATTTTTCCTTCATCCATTTCGTAACAATTTCGAAATTCTTTTTCACGCCTCTCTCGAAATATCATTTAACGCGAAATGCACGCGTAACGAGCAATCCCGGCGCTATAATATTTCTTATTATTCCTTCGTTTCTCTTTTAAAAGGCTCGACCTGTTTACCGCGATTGAAAGAAGAGAAAAAGAAAAGAAAAAAGATCAATAAAGAAAATCTCCCTTATTCACCAAAGAGCCGTCATTTGTCTCTCTAATTATCTTATTTCCATGTACGCGTTCCAAATTTCTTTGTACAATTATAATTCGTTGTGTAAATCAATCGCGAGGGAAAGATTTTTCAAAGAACGATCGATATCGAGCGAAAAAGATCAAAATTTCATCCCGTTCCTCCCTTTCCCTCATTTTCAACAACCCTCCCCGCGTTTCATCCCCGTTTATACACCACGATGGATTCACCTTCAACGGCCTTTAAATAATAACCGGTTAATACCATCGTCTGATAAAATGGATCGTCACCTAAACAAGGAAATTGCGAGCGCGATATTGCCACACTTTCCTCCAACCAGGCCGTTTCCGACTTTTTCCCTTCCCCCATAAACTTTCCGTTTTCACACCGGTCCGCCCCGTACACCGTCGTTCTCCCTCCTTCCGCATTATCATCCGCGTTTTACCCTCCAACGGGGTCCAACGAGAGAGAGGCGCGACGAAGTGTGGCCATATTTGCGGCCGGGATGAGATCCCATCTACGTTTATAAACTCGTTTAATAAACTCGATCGTAAAAATCTTAAATTAATCCTGTGCATTCGTCTCGAATCCCGTTATCCGTGCTTCTCGAAACCGTGTTTCGTTCGAACGTTGATACGTCGGTGCAAGTTGTACGTCGTTACAGCAGAATTTGTTTATCCGGGCGCACGGACGGAGAAGAATGCGCTGCTGCATCCTCGTCGTTATCCCGTCTCGTTACCATTATCCAACATCCGTTCGTACGGATCGCTTCGATCGTTTTTATTTTTCTTTTCTTCTTTTTTTACGCACGATGATCCCTCTTTTCGAGAACGAAAGAGGACTTGTGGGATACCTGTTGAAGATCGGTTTTCTCTTCTATTCTCGCATCGTCGATCTTCGTGGAACGCACGAACACCCTCGATCGATTAAATCACCATTGGCAAATGGTACGCGAGTAGATAGGGAGGAGGAGGGTGGGGTTTTTTTTCTTTTTTAAAAAAGAAACGAAAAGATATCGTTTCAAAAATACGAATCGATTTCTTTCCTCCCTTCCTCCCTTTGCGTCCTCTTAAACGTTCGCGTCACGTTCGCGCCGCACCACGATGCGGGGGAGGAGACGAGCACAGAGTGCAGTTGGAGAGATAGGGAAACGATAGAGGCAAAGAATAGGAGCGGACAGATTGATCGACCGTGTCTGGATCTCCGCCGTGTCGAGACGAGATGGTGGGGATGGAACGATAAGGGTGGATGGATTTCAGACGATCGAGACCCCACGAAAGCGGAAGTACTTTGGGCCGATCGTTGTTGGGGGATACCATACTCTAGGCTGCGAACGATCTTTGCATCTTTGCGCAAGGAGAAACGTCTTCCGCCGCTGATTGCTCCCTGCGAAATACGACTCCAGCCACTTTCGTTTCCCCCTCGTTCCTCTTCTCGTATACGTTATAGAAAGTTACAGCGAATCGAGCAACGAAATTAAATCTTATTCAAGATTTAAGAAGAAGCGGAATCGGCCGATCAATTTTGTCATCTTTGACAGACACCGGATTTATTCCGATTCTTTTAATTGGAAATAGCCATTGGTGAGAAATATCACCTCGAAACCGATGACCCGATGAACTTTTCCCGTCGATTGAACGCATATACGGATGGAAATACAATTTTATTTTCAGGTATTCGGAGGAGTAATTTAAAAAGTATTCGTCGTGTTGCGTGCACGCGATTACATGCGCGGGATTTTTTTTCGTATTGCAACGTTGAGAAAGTAGCTCGTAGCGAGAACAATAACGGGCGGATTAATTCGTGGCTCGACCCCTCGAATTCGAGGAAATCCGAGCCGAGCCATCCG